TCTCTCTCTCTCTCTCTCTCTCTCTCTCTCTCTCTCTCTCTCATGTCCCAGGCACTAACCTGTGAAGATGGCGCCGTGCTGCAGGTACCTCGAAGACGAAGTTGGAGCTATGGCGCTGCAGGTAAGTCTCCCTGGCCTCCGCCCAATCTCTCTCTCTCTCTCCAGTACTAGTCTAGCTCCTACTAGCGCCCAGCGCTGAAGACTACTGCTAACGCTACTACTACTACTACTGCAGCGCTCCTCCAGAGTGCTGCTGCCGAATCCTGAAGACTACCTCCTGCCTCCTGAACTGCACGTGAAGTGCCTGGGAAGTCCCTATGAACTACCTGCAGCCTGCAGGGCGGGCCAGTCCTATATAGTGCTGGCCCGTCCAGGAGGCTGCTCTTGCCAATGCCAAAACGTGCCAGACCCTGGCGTTGAAGCTCGAACAAAGGTTGTCTTGAAAACAGGCCCAAAATGGCCTGTACTAAAACACTGGTCTGGTGCCTAAGTTTTAGGGCAGGTCGATCTTATGAGGACCTGAAAATGGCCCTCCGTTTCAGTCTGAAAAGACTCAGGGCCTGGAGGGCCCTGTTTTAGGCTGAACAACACAGGGCCTGTAGGCCCTTGTTTTCAGGCTTTCAGGCTGAAACGACACAGGGTCTGTAGGCCCTTGTTTTCAGCCTTTCAGGCTGAAAACGACACGGGCCTGAAAATGGCATGTGCAGCCTGTTGCAGGCGCACCATGCAACAGCCCCCTAGCATGATATGGCAATCTAATAATCTACCCATGAGTGTTTCAGGGTTGGCACTGGGGTCTCATGATGCTTCAAGTTTAAAAACAACATGTTTAAGATCAGGAGGAGAGCTGTCATGTGGACCCTCTGGAGGAAACGTTGTATACATGCCATTGAGGGGGTCCGCATAGTTGGGGAGGAGTTAACAGACATGATAAAACAATATATACAACAAGAACTCATGGTGCAGTGGCAAAAAGTTAAAAACAAACTGGAGTTGTTTTACTCATCAAAAGACATAATACAAGCAATTCGTCAATTCTCTGGGGACTGGTTGGGCACTGAGAACACGCGCCAGATCACATTCGTCAGATGGGACGGCAGGCCCGGCCGGGAGTGTAACCAGGAAGAGTTCAGGAGAGACTACCGTATCTTCTTCAGAGACTGGACTATGGTGGGTCAGTAGATCCCGCTGCGACCACCCACAGAATTTCTCGACCCCTTCCCGCCCCACCAGCTGGCAATGGTGGACATGCAATGGTATGGAGCAGATTGAGCAAGATCACAGGTCGAAGGGACCAAGTAAGGACGGGGCACGTCTACAAGCAGGATATGGAAGACAGCCGGGTCATATTGAACAAGCGGTATACGGTGGGCTGGTAGCTGGTCATAGGAGGCCGTGTTATTCAGAAGAAACAGGGCGGCGCTGCTAGGGAAACGACAGTGATCTGGCGGTCTGGTGCAGGCCGAAGAGGCCGCCCCACGCCCCAAAGTGTGCTGTTGTCAAACACATTTATCACTAACCCTGCGCAGTCAATCCCCTGGAAACAGGGCAATCAATGCTGGCAGGCATTCTGATGTACAGTGGGACGCGCTTTCCAGCAGGTGCTGCTCCCCACCAATACACCAGAGCACCTAGGACGCTTGCTAGGAGGGGGTGCTCGTATCACCTCTCCTAGCAAGGAGAGTGGTTTTTTAACCAAAAAAAAAAGTCAGTCTGACCAGACTCACCAGAGTAAAATTAGTCCTGCGCCAAGTCTGGTTTCAGTGGTTCTGCAAGCCTTACAAAAGAAAAAGAGAGAGGAAGAGATCAATCCTGCTTGGTCACGTGCTGAATGTTTCATAAACAGGGGGAAAGACTTGTTGTGCCTTTATTATTCGGCTCTTGGGTACGGGGATGTCGAGGTCTTCCCCCACCTTTCCGGAACTTCTGAAGACTTTTGGTCCTTCCTTGAATTTTATTCTTTTATTCTTCTCACATTCATTTATTACAACATTTAAAACGAGGCCAAGGACCTTACAATTCTCTACCCAGATAGAATTAGGGGGCCATCACCCAGCTTCAGCTCAACAAAAATTGCTGGAAAATGGGCCCAGTGTCCCACAAGGAACCTCCTACTTTTTAGGTGATGCTAAGAGCCTGCATGATGGGATGCTGGACGGACCACCCAGCATAAGCCGAGGTTGGGAAACATTGAGTTCACAAGTGTTATGGTAAGAGAGAGAGAGAGAGAGAGAGAGAGAGAGAGAGAGAGAGAGAGAGAGAGAGAGAGAGAGAGAGAGAGAGAGAGAGAGAGAGAGAG